TTCAGCGTGCAGTTAAAATCGCCTCCTAATATAATTGGATCACGTTTATCCAGATTGTTGACGGTAGTTTTCACAATTTCAAAAAACCTCAGGCATTCAGCACCACTAGTCGGTGCATAAATATTCAGTAGATGATATGATAAACCATTAACCGTGACATTAGTGTATTGAAGACGACCATTAACAATACTCTGCGACGAGTTGACAACAATTTGTTTATTAGGATGCATAAGAATAGCAACGCCAGCCGACGTAGTGCTATCATGTGAAAACAAAATTGGCGCACGTCAAACCACTTGCCACCTGGCTCATCAGTCGGAATGGAATGCGTCTCTGCAGAAAGTCTGCTTTGTGATTCAGTTTTAAAAAGTTAAAAATATCATGACGTTTGAGGGAGTCACGACAGCCATTTACATTCCATGTAGTAATAGAAATGTTTGACATGAGTAAATGAAATAAAATATACGTACAGTACATTACAGTGTTTGTTGGGTCTGAACAATGACAGTGACATTTAAGTTCAGAAACCTGTCAGTAGGAAGGACACGTGATAAATTCAGATTTATTTGTGTTCTTGTAAAACCGGGAATGTTAGTAAGTACATCATTACTATATAGAGTAGTTGTTTGTAAGCACCATACAACATGCCACCTGGTCTCATGACAAGTAGGTGGATAAGTTGTATAGTATAAACACAATTTAAGAATACAATGAAAGTTAGTAAAATCGTGACATTTAAACAGGTCACGACAATTATCGTCATACCATGAAATAGATGAAAACGACATTATAAGATGTACTAACAAAAATGTACTCAACATTATTGTTTAGGTTTTTTTTTAATTACGACTTTTCAGGTGATTCTGTAGTTTGATGAGTATTTTATGGATTCGGGATTTCTGTTGGAATGTTACTAGATCGGAGTTTTTTAGTTTCTTAAAAACCTTGAAAAGTAAACGAGCATTGAACAGAAATCTCCCCGTTGGAAAGGCACCATGGACAATACGCCACTGTAGATCCCCATATTTGTTGATGACTGGTGTTTCATAGTAATCCTTGAAGTTGGGTTTAGCATTTTCAGGCAGACTAAGGATGTCACGCCAAACAGTGTCAAGTTTTTGTGGGTGTTGTGTTATTGACAGGACACGTATTAGATATTTATAGATTGCGCCCTTTTCAAACTTATATAGTGGCAAATTTAGTTCATCAGAAAAGTGCAGTTCAAAGCTATGACGTGAAAGAGGTTGATTACACTTCTCGTTCCCTTTGAAGTAAGTGTTGATAGTATCTTTCCATTTGGTAGGAATAGAATCGTGAATAACTTTGATACTGAGATGAAGAATATGTTCCGAATGGATTTTAATTTTATCCGACATATCAGCGGCCTCCAACCAAGTTTTATTCGTTTCTGAAACTAAATCACATACTTCGGTTATTCCCGCGTCAACAAAGTGTCTGAGCGCAAAAGCCTCATTTCTTATGGGATGTATGATGAGTGGGTTGTTAAACAGTGGCTCATTAAGAATATCAGTTACGTTATCATCATTTAATTTACGCACTTTATCAACAGATTTCCAACACTGGAGGAGTTCACAATAAAATAATGGCAAACTATTTAAAGGTGCTTTGATAGTGGTGCATAGTAGTTGACTTGAATATGACATATTGCTCGCTTGCATAAAAAGTAGTCTGTAAACTTAAAACATCGGTGGTCATGATTATTATATAGATATATTTGAAAATAGGAAAGTCGCATGGTACTTATGCGTTTTGGAAGATGTGTAACATTTTGTCCACCCCTTTCCAATGTCGGCCTTGCCAAAAGAAATCAAGGAGCATTTTCTGTACCTCCAGAACTACGTCCGATGGCGGCACAAGGCTATTAAAGCGGTACAATAACTGCGATGAAAACATATTATTAATAATAAGAGCGCGCGCTCTGTAAGACATGCTGTAAACAAAGTGATTCCAGAAGTTGATCTTATTATTTACTTTTGCAACAAGTTCAGCCCAGTTCTGATTCGTATAAGTTAGATTATTCCCAAGATAAACACCCAACAGTTTCAACCCCTCGCTGTTCCATTTGATATCGAGAGGGGAGTAGGTGATGTTGCGCCAGCTACCTAGCCGTAACCCTTTGATTTTTGGAGATTGATTTTAGAGTTTGACGCAAGCTCATAGACATGTAACCAGCGACTCAGTAGGTTGAAATCTTGTTTGCGAGTTATGAAAAATTCCACGTCGTCAGCGTAAGCAGTGAGTTTAGAATGTTGGTTTTTGCTGTGAGGTATAACCAACCCTTCAATGTTTTCATCATTCCTGATTTTATGAAGTAGTGGTTCAATGGCAATGACGTAGAAGGCAGTGGACATTGAACACCCTTGCTGAATGCCACGGGCCACTGTGATGTGTGTAGTAAGGGCGCAGTTAACGCGGACCAGGGACTGGGCATTGGTATACATGAGGCGAATGTAAGAAAGAAAACGGTCACCAAAACCAAAGGCACGAAAAAGGTGTAAAAGGTGTGTATGATTTTCCTTATTTCAGTTTGATTTTCAGTAAGAGTGTTATCCTGGTGCCTCAACTGAAAAATCGCCTTTTTGGTCCCCTTCTTTTTCTCTAACTGGAAAAAGAAGGAATTGCAAATATCACTTCCATTTAAAAACTGATGTCGCGCACGCGTAGCACTGCCTTTGTGTTCACGTTGAACAAGGCGTGGGAGAAGTTTTTTTTTTCTTTTCAGTGTAACTGTTTAAGAGCGGTGCATTGTGTGCAGTACAACGTTCGATGGTTTTAATTTCCATTTCCATTTCGGTTTTGTATTTATTTTGTTTGAGTGTGCAATAGTGTTGTGTGAGTAACTTTATTTTATCTTTCCCAATATCCCACCATGTCTTTATATATACATAATTATTTCGAAGTGTTTGCCACTTCGCCCAAAAATCAGTTAAGATTGCCACATACACTTCATTGCGCAGAATTTCTGTATTCATACACCACAATGGACTTTTGTTTTTACTGTCGCCAATAGCAATGTTTATGTGGACAAGGGAATGGTCAGAATAGGCTAATGCGCCATTGCTTACGTCAATATTCTTAATTTTTCCACGCATACATTTGCTGACATGAAACCTATCAAGGCGCACAAGCGTACCACCCCGCCCCAAGTAAAGTTAATGTGTTCCCGTGGTATTGGCGCCATGCATCAAACAGTTTGTGATGATTCAAGACAGATTTGAAGAGCTTTGCAGTGCGCATGTCCTGTTCAGTCCCTCTATTACGATCAATGTCGGGTTCAGTAGTACAATTAAAATCGCCTCCCATGATTACTAGGTCATAATTTAGAGAACTGATGAATTGTTGAACTTTAGTGAAGCATTCCACACGCTCAGCGCCATTAATAGGTGCATAGACATTAATAATGTGAAGAAGATTTTCATTAATTTGAACATCAGCGTGCAACACGTATCCAGGCATGATCTCAGATTGTGATAAAATATTCACAGTTGCTCCTGGCGAAAACAAAATAGCCACACCCGCATGATTAACAGTGCCATGAGAAAAACTAACCAACGCCACGCCACACAAGTTTCCAAATATTTTCATCGGAGAC